TATCTTTTTTTTATATTTTATTTTTTTCGTATTCTCTATTATTTTTTTCATTTTGATTTGAATTATTTTATTTTTTATTTTTATTTTTATTTTATTAATTTAGAAACGGGCGTATATTTACCGGCTTTGAAAAATAATTAATATATAATGCAATTTATTTACAAAAAGCAACGCAGATTTATAACAAGAAATCGTAATAATACAACGTGGATGCTCCGAATTGATTTTCGATATTCGAAAATGTATTTTCAGATATTTGAATTTAAAACAAATATTCGAATATTCTATTTTCAAACAGAAACCATACAAACCGTAACTGCGCTATTTATATTTATTTATTTAAATAACTAATTAATTAAGTATTTAAATTTTTAGTGTCTAGTTAATATCTTACCTTTTTTTTTAAAAATTAATTTTACACTTCTTTATTTTGCAAAATAAGAAATGAATTTACATTTATACAAAAATTTAATATTACAATAATACTCAATTTTCATAACCTTCAAAAGCTTCAAGATTTCCAATCCAAATCGTGAATTTTTTAATTTCAACTATCTATCCTTCATCAAATTTTTAAGCAAGACCTCTCTAACTACTCTAACGCCGGAATTTAAAGCTCCAACAATCCAAGCGTGAAATATATCGGTATGCTCCCCAGCCCAATGGATATAATCTTCCGATTTCATCATAGATTCCATCAATTCTCCAAATTGAGCGGGTCCAAATTCTGCAAAGGCCCCTCCGCCAGCGGTTTTATCATTCGGCCAATAAATTGCCTTATTATTCTCTTTGCCCGGAATCCATTCTTTGAGTGCTATATCTCCATGAAGTGTTACAATGTCTTTTAATGCAAGTTCAAACATTTCTTCCTCGCTGAATGGACCGTATTTTTCCGCATCCTTTTTCCAAGTATAAGATGCTAAGAGAACCGCGGAATTATTCGGTGGTATACCTTGGTAATATGAAGGATAAACAACTGTACGAACCGGAAGATCGGTCGATGAAGTACCACCGACGATTCCAGCACCGGAAGTCGTTGGCTGTCCGTTTGTTTCCCAGAAGCGAGATTTGAATTGAAGAAATATCTTTCCTGATGCCGCATAATTCAATTCACGAATTGCACGTCGTTTGCCATATGATAATGCTATCAAAAGAAATTTTTGATTAGATGAATTTTTTTTTATTCTTTACTAAAAAAAAAAAAAAATTCTACTTCGTAAAAGTTAAACCTTACTTGAAGGTAGATCCCAATGACGGACGACACCCAATGGAGGAGTGACAATCACCCTATCAAATACCTCGAATTCTTTCTTTCCCTTGGATTTCCAATACACCTTAACTTTTTCACCATTATTAGTATTTTCTAATTTGTAAACTTCGCTGTTGTATCTTAGGTCCATCTTTTCCTTTTTGATTAAAGGTAAAAAGGCGTTTGGAAATCGTTGCAATCCCTTATCAATGGTTTTCCAGGTTAGAGGATATTTAAGATTGTCAAAGGTATAAGATGCAATGGCCATATCAACAAAACTCAAAACAAACTCGCCTAAAAATTAATAATAGACCATGGTTAGTATGAATGGAATGTCAAAAAAAAAAAGTTTATTATTATTATTATAAAATCAAAGTAATTCATGCCTGTGCTCACTAATTGCAATTCAATAGCACTTATAATTTCATCATAAACTTCCGCCTTTTCATTCGGCAATCTTTCAGGAAGAAAGACTTGCCTTAGATAAGAATAGGTGGAATGTTCATCGTAACGTTTTAACATTTTAAGTCCTTTTGTGAAATCGGTGTTTAACACGTCAAAGAAGGGCATTAATGCTTCATTCCAAAGATCGAGAAAGTTGGATGGGATAGTATCAGGGTATCCTAGCTGACTGATTTCTACGGTCGCATAGTAATTTTTGGTCATCATATTACCATTATGATCTTTTTTGTTGTTGAAATATTGTATGGCACTTTACAAGGGATGTTTAAGATTCAATATCAATAAATCAAAAGATAACATTAGAAAAAATAATTAAAGAAATTATCAATTACAAACTTTGAATCACTAAATATGAAGGGGATGGTGTGGATCTGTTTCTTTTGGTCATCCTTATTGTAATCGTTCAGGTAATCAATTGTATCAAACATTAATTGATGGGGGGAGAGATCTGGACGACCTTCAACGTAAGGTAACCTCATTGCACCAAGTTCACCGTATAAACGCCTTTCGTCATCAGGGTCATTGGTAAAGTAGTGAGTACGCACACGTCCACCAATACGATCTTGATATTCAAGAATGGTAATGTCCTTGATTCCGGCCTCTTTCAAGAGAAGAGCTGAGAATAAACCTGATGGAATGATGCATATGAGTATGATAAGAGTGTAAACAATATGAAATAATTCATTCAAGCATGAATGTAGCGAGTAAATATACCTGCTGCTCCGGCACCGATGATGCATATTTCTAATAAAGAGGTATGTGAATATTGTATTCAGAGAATTATACAATATAAAACATTAGGGTGAATTAAATCTCACTTGGATTTTCCGTCGGAGTATCTCGAGGAAATATGTTTGTATCATCATCTTTAAGCCTGACAATGGGACCGAAATAAATATAAACTGGATTCATTAATTGACGAAAATTATGTTTAACGATATGCTCACCTTTTAAGGTATTCGTAGTGATAATAAGACTTCAGATGTGCATTATATTTCATTATATGGAGCTCTCTTGACTCGGCGAGTAGTTTTAACTTTCTTGTTCTCTCCTGTAATGTATATCAAGAAGGGGTGAGTAACATACAGTTTTTTTCATCAATTACTTTTTTTTGTTAAAAAAATACTTACGGCCTGTAGTATATAGAAAATGATGAATGGATTTTTAATGATGAGTCATTTGAAACAAAGCATTATGAAAGAAATTGTAAAAATTGATAATAAAAAAATATTTACTTTGAGCAATTGTAGCAATTGAAATAAGAAATATCGCGATAATTAAAATGGAATGGAATTTTGGTAGCATGATGAATTCGTTAGAAGTCAAAAATGCAAAGAGTGAGGATTAGTTTGACTGCTATTTTATACTTTTCGTTAAAGAAGAAAAGCTTCTATATCCATACCCGTTCTATTGCCCTTTACTTAATTAGCTTTGCTATTCTATTTTCCTAATTTACTTAATTATAATAATAGATGCATGCGCCTTGATAAAGTTTGTTTATTTGCATTTTTTTTTTTTTGTTTTTTTTTTTGTTTTACGTGATTCAAGCATTATTTTAACTATTAGAATTTCGTCTTCCCTAAAAAAAAAAAATGCACTTAGCTCAAATGATAATCGTTATGCAAAGGGATTATTTTCGGTGTAATCAATTTCGGTTACATTGGCGTTTCTTCGCATAGCGGAGAAAATTTCCTATATTTATCTCAAACTACCCCTTAAATATGCCCGAGAAAGTAAGTTTGCGCATATACAACTTGGGCCACATATATATATATATTTTTTTTCATTTCTTTAAAATTACCATTTATAATAAGATAAATTTGTTATCTTAATGAATATTCAAATTATAGTATTGGTCAAAAGTAAAATCCATTTGAAAAAAAAATGGTGTTTTTTTTTTCCTAATACATCTACTCGCAATTATTTATACATTATAACGTCTTCTTCCCTTAATATATTCTATAAATCGACGTAATAAAAGATCATAATTTAATAATAAATAAAGTTTGATGATTTTCGTATCCGTAATGAATCACCGGGATTATCTCGAACACGCGTGCAGCAAATTCTTAAAAATTTGTAAATTTGGCATTGACAAAAGAAATTCCATTTTTGGCACAGTGATTTAATGATCTTTAAACGTATTTTTGTGTTATTAGATTATACTTAAGTGTAGGACAAATTGTCCAAAAGTTTATTTGTATAACAAAAATATATATACGAGTTTACAGCGCATTTAAACCTTAAATATAATTTTAGAAATGGCTTTTATAACGCCAATAATTAAACCTATACATACATTAAGGAAGGAAATATACATGTTCTGCAAGGATCATGAAGATCCCAGGGGGTAGGTCCCAGCGCCGGCATAAACCGGCTCTTGGTTTTGGTTGGGATGGAGCAGGGTGAGATAGCGAAGTAATATATTTCGAACGCCATTGAACACTTTGGATCCACCCAATTCTCGATGGATATGACCACAGCACATACAATTAGAAGATATTGGCGGAATCGGAAGTGAGACTATGGTAATATCATCCGTGCAGTCTTAGAACGAATCCGCCGTTTTTCCACACATAACCATTCCCTGTGTTTTAAACTCAGGTAACAAAAATAATACGATAATTTTGACACAGCCATTTGGCAAGTTTATGGTGGCAATCATTAAATAAGACAACGGATTTTTTTTATGTATACGAAGCATGACCTTGCGAAGCTTGTATCATTTTCGTTTTGTGTACTTTTCCATGAATAGAGTCATGCTTGCTTTGGATTTTGTCATACGTCAGGGAAAGCCGATAAATTCAATTAATATCATTTTTTCCTCATTCAATAGCCTGTACGCACGCCTGGATCCAGAGCAATCACTCCTTTCTATTAAATTATTAATTTAATGAATAAATTAATTTTAAAGTTTTTATTCTTTAAATATTATTGTATAATTGTATACTGATATAAAAATATAAAATATTTAATATAAATATAAAGATCTTTTATGTTTCTATAACCCACTTAAGTTTTGTATCATTCTTAAAGTTTACAGCGTTGAGAAAAAACGTGTCAAAATTTTTTTTTAGTCTAAAAAGTCTAATTCAGTTATGCTTCGATAAAATTCTTTATAGAACTTTATTGAAATCTCTTTAAGAAACTAGTAAATAAAACCAGGATTTGAATTTTTTTTTAAAAAAATAATTATTTTTAAAGAAAAATTTATTTTTGGATTTATTTTTTGATTCCTCTTTTTCTAGTTTAGTCCTGAGAAAAGTTTTAAAACCTCTGATGTATCAGCAAAAGCATCTGACGACAACAATCCTATCATTTTATATGTAAATTTAGCCCTTAAAAGCCTCCTGAGAACTAGTTTCTGTAATCATATTTTCGTTTCTATTAAGTACTTGTAATCATCGTTACGGTTAAATTTCATTATATATATGAAGAAATTACGAGTTTCAAAATAATAATAATATTTACCATATTTGGTGATTTTTTTTTAAATATATAGGACCTTTGCAATAGAAAAGGGGGAAACGGCTGGAAAAATAAAAATCTGAACATATTTTGACTTAAAAATCATATTTAGCATATAAAAGTAAAATTGATTTTTTCCGGCAGTTTCCCCCCTTTCTATTGCAAAGGTCCCATATGACAAAAAAATAATCGTTTAATGTTTTAATTATCGCATAACCAAGTATATGTAGTGGCGCAGTATTATCAACGGACTTTAACGTTAATGGTTCATATATAAATATTTGAAATGATAGAATGATAGTTAATTTTTGTTATTTAAATCTTTTACTATGTAATTAAAATGTCAAAATGTCAAAATCTAAGCCTTTTATGACCGTGACCCTTAACATCTCTATACCCCAGTAAATTACGCAGGATTTCCTTGTGACCTTCTCAAAGGTTCTTAGAAAACTTCCCAGTGGAACTTGACAAATGAAACAAAAATAAGATCTTACCCTTTTGGCTGAAAAAAATTTATCGACATCACTTTGATCAAAAAGATATTTATGATTTTCTTACACATCCACATGATGCCTGACGCAAAAAATTGCGAAAAATAAATAAAGCGAATAAAGTGAGGAAGAAAAAGAAAATTCTGAAAATAGTTTATGTGAAAACAAACTTTTATGCATGACCCTCGTTTTCTCCCACCTTTTTCTCCAAATAATAAAAAACTGGATAATATCATCATTAATATCAGAAAATTAAAAATACATTCAACCCTCTCTAAATACATATACTATATATTTTCTCTCTAAATGCACGCTCTTGTTCAGTCTCAAGCATATAGAATTCATATAAAAATTTTCTCTTTAAATGCACACCCTCTTTAAATGCACATTTTTTAAAATTTTCCCGAGGGGGTGCATTTAGAGAGGGTTGACTGTATATTTTTTACCTTTTTGTGCATATATATCACGGTATAGATAAGCTGAGATGGATAGAATTGCTGAATTTATTGAAGGGTTATGACCAGAATTTATGGTACCAGTGCAAACAGCAATGCCAACGACAGTAGATCAAGTAATTGAAAAAGTAGAGCAGTAGAATCTGCATATTCTATTGGAATGGAACTATTTGCCTATTCGTTAATGCTTAATTACATATATATATTACACAGTAGCCAGATATTGAGGGCACTATTAATCGCAAACTAAATGAAAGATTACAAGCGATTATGGCAAACATTGGGCAACAACAACAACAACAATAACAATAACAACAGCAGCAACAGCCACAATAACGGCCACGCAAATATTTTAATTGTGAAAAATTTTGACACTTGTCTAGAGATTGTAGAAGTAATTGATGTATGAACAATGACTAATCAAACATTGAATGCTTTAACTGTGAGAAGTATGGCCATTTCGCCAGGGATTGCAGGAGTACAAACAATAATAGAGGTCAAAACCTTCAAATTCATACTGATAATAACAGAAATCGTAACTGCAGTAATAGCAGGAATAGGAATTATAGAAATAATAATAATAATAACTACAATAATAACAGTAATAATAATAATAATAACCAACAGCATTTAAACTAGAAGTCACACCTCTTAGGGGTGTGTGTGCGAATAAACCAAAGCCCTTAAAGTGAAAGAAGAGGAAGAAGTAAAAGAGAATAGTTAAGGTGAAACAAAAACAAAAGCAAGTTTAATAGAAGTACTGTATGTAGAGGAATAAATTCAAAAATACGATTTGGAGAACCATATGAAAACAAATATGATCACTCCAGTTGTGGAGAATATGACCATTATAGCCATATTGTATGTACAAATTGTAATAAGATTGCTAAAGGAATAGCAGCACGATGCGGATGTAAGGAAGTAAAATGGAATGATCCACTAACTGATGAAAGGATTTTTAATAAAGATCAGCCAATTAAATCAGTAGATCTCTAACAACAAGGAGAAGTCACTGTTAAGAAAAGGCCGAAGTATGTGTTAGGAATCTTATATGATGACAAAGGAATCTTTCAAAATGAATTGACTCAAATAAGGAAATGTATAATTTATGGCAAACAGTCAGTGAGAAAGTTGAACTAGGGGAATCGTCGATAAGGACTATGATTCGAGAAATTGATGAAGAAACTGGAATATAATTGGATAAAGATTGCTTGAAATACATTTTAAATGATCCTACATATAATTATAACGTATATAAAGTAAAACTAAACAAAGAAATACCTCAACATACTGAACCTACCAAACATAGCGATTGGCAACATTTTGAGTTTAACAAATATTTACAAATGGCTGGTCTAAATAAACTAACACCAACCCGTTAGAAGATTCTATTACAACAATTTCAATTCAAAGTAAAATATCGCAAAGAAAAGGCAAAGGTACCGTAGAGCGCTGACTAAACCACCCCCTATGCAAAATACCCTTCTAAGGTTTTGGACCGAAATTTTGTAAAAGACCCAGGTGGTTTAAATAGGGGGGTTTTTTTTAGTCAGAAAATAGTCGTAAAATTAAATAAATCATGTGAT